TTTTTTTTTTTTTTTTTTGGTAAATACTTATTTTTTCTTTTGAACTCCACTTTGCAGGAAACTAATTTATTCTCTAAGTGGCCTTATGTTTGTCTAACAAGGAAATCAGCAAAAGGGTTCTCCAAGAAGCTAGCAATGAAATTAAAGTGTCTACCGTCACCACTGGTGATAAATCAAACTGATGTTAAAGATACAGATAGTCATTGCAGTGTACTCTTCTTACTAGAATTGTTTAAGTTAATTAAGCCAACAAAGTACTTCATTATCTATTATGCTGCATGCTAATGGTAAATGTAAAGTTTCACTGTCTCATAATATAAAAAATGTTCTGAAAATAAAATTTACATCTCTGTATTCAATTGTGTTACCATAAATTTAATGGTAATTAATAAAATTAATTGGGAGAATATATTTATTGTACCACAGTTAGGCTTCTGTTTTTCTTTACAAAGTAAAGAAATTTTAGTAAACGTTTGAAACGACTGTACTCAGGGCAACGTTTGTCCATCTTTTTGAGAAAGAGATGAAAATAATATATAATGCTTTTTTATTAAACTGTCAAAAATTTAATTACATTCAACTTAGCATTGTAGAATTTTAAATGTACTCTATTAACTAAAATTAAAAAAAGCTGTTATAAATTACTGATATGATTGGTTTCTTTCATTTGCAGCATTTAAATATTAAGACACTGACGGATGATATGGTAAGGTTATCCTCAATGTTTCCTTTGCTGTGAATCTTAACTAACCATGTAATGTTGATGTCATGCTGCGCTAACACCTTCCTTTGAAATTGCTAAAAATTGCATGTATTGGAAATGGCTGTTTTCATAGTGTTAAAATAAGTGGCAGAACTGGTAAAACATTCTATTGTTCCTTTTAAATAGTAAAAGAGAATAAATGGTATGCTAATTTAAAAAATTTGTTTAATTACAAATTGATAGCCAACTCTAAATCACACAAATCAGCTCTCATTCTCTGGGGGTGACTTCATTTCAAAAAGAGGGAGAAAAAGAGCTGAAGACATGTCTGCTGTTCAGAAATACATAGCTGCTAATTAAAGTAAACCAGTCTGAGCTATCATGCATGTATTTAAAAAATTTTTTTGCTTAAAAATGTGAGAACCAAGCATGTCTTATTATATGTTCCGCACATTGAAAATAATAGTTTTCTTATAAGTAATTACCATTTTATGTCATGTCTTAGTTATCTAGTGCTGCTGTAACGGAAGTACCACAAGTGGATGGCTCTAACAAACAGAAGTTTGTTCTCTCACAGTTTAGGAGGCTAGAAGTCCAAGTTCAGGGTGCCAGCTCTAGGAGAAGACTTTCTCTCTCTGTGGGCTGTGGGGGAAGGTCCTTGTCATTAATCTTCCCGATGTCTAGGAGTTTCTCAGAGCAGAGACCCCAGATCGGAAGGACATGCTCCTCTCTGAGCATTACTTCCTTGGTGGCATGGGGTCTCTCTTTCTCTCTGTTCCCTTCTGTCGTTTGTATCTCAAAAGAGATTGACTCAAGATACAACCTAATCTTGTAGATTGAGTCCTGCCTCATTAACATAAACTGCCTCTAATCCTGCCTCATTAACATCATAGAAGTAGGATTTATAACACATAGGAAAATCACATCAAATGACAAAATGGTGGACAGTCACACAATACAGGGAATCGTGGCCTAGCCAAGTTGACACACATTTTTGGGGGACACAATTCAATCCATAGCACCATTACAGATTCTTGAATATTCAAGTAAATTTTTCTGAGATGGGTATTTTTGAATGTAACTCTTATTTAATGGTAAAAGAATGACAATAAGAACAACAACAAAACCCTAAATAAGCAATAACACCAAAAACATTAGATGCAAGTATAGTTGAAAAAGCAGGGCACTCAATAGACCAGGTTTTGAATTCAGCCTCACCACGTCAAGCCCGAAGTAGAGTGCCTAGAGCATAGTAAGCACTTGAAAAATGTTCAGCATTTCTGATCTCCAGAGTACCATCCCTAGGTACCTGGGACATGCCAAGATGAGTGAGACACAGATTTTGACAAGAAAGATTTAAAAAATCCAATAAATTGTTGGTATGTTTTATTCCTCTGGGCAATATCTATAAAAAGGATGTATCTGTAAAGTTTTCTGGATAGCATATATTCTTCCTACAGTAGTATTTATAAAATGAAAGCAATATGGAGCCCTTACGCACATTACATATGTTATTTCTCACTATGCTAGGCTCAGACAAGTAAAGTAGGCAGCTTGCTCAAGTATAGACAGCTGGCAAGTGGTGCAGCCATGGTTTGAATCTCGTTCCACTGGTTCCTCATATGGTACACTTACTGTGCTGATTTAATCCGGCCTTCAAATGGTTTCTCAAGGCCAACAATAAAACCATTTGCAGTTTTTATGTTTGAACTTTTATGAAAGTATACAATGGTATATTTTTAACATAATAGCTTTATTGAGATATAATTCATATACCATATAATCACCCATTTAAAGTGTACAATTCAGTGGTTTTTAGTATATTCATGGAGTTGTTGATCATCATCACAGTCAATTTTAGAACATTCTCATCACCCCAGAAAAAAACTCTATCCCCATTATTGCTCATCCCCATTCCCTTTTCTGTCTCCTCTTGTGTGTATGTGTCTTTGTGTCTATTCTTGTCTTTTTATAACTCAGAAGTGTTAGGTTTAGGATCCACTCCACACTGGTATGACCTCATTAACATAACAGAAGAAAACCTCTATTTCCAAACAGGATCACATCCACAGGTACCAGGCCAGGAATCCAACACATATTTTTGGGGACTCAGTTCAATCCATAACAGGACAGAACTTCTGGGTTGCTACCACAGTGGTCTGGGCATATTTTAATCAAAGCAGTACATTGTTTGTCTGTCTGTCTCAGTAGTTTAAACTTTTTGAAGGCAGAGACAACATGTTATTAATAATACTTCCAGTACCCAGCATTGTGTTTGGCACATAGTAAGCATTATAGTAAATTTTTTTTTTGATTGAATGAAAGAATGAGTCACCGCCTTGACAACCTGCCTGGTATTGTGGTTTTCTTGCATCTGGGCCTGGCTTGGCCCTGGCCAGGCTTCCCAGAGATGGAGTCTTTGACAAGGAAGCTTTGATAAGGACCTGCTGTTGATCTCTGCTCACCTGCTTGGATCCTTGACTATTGCCTTCCCTTGCTTTCATCTTAAATGCATATGTGGTCATCTCTCCCTGAGTATGTGGTCGCCCTCCTGGCATTGACTTGTTGGCTGAACGGCTGTCCCTTCACTCTCCCTGTTCTCTTTTGATCTTGAGCTTTAGTCTGCTTCTGAGTAGGCTAGGGATTGGGTCCAGGGTAGGATCAAGCAGGCAATCTAGTTTAGGCAACTGGATCCATTGTTGTGGAGGCGAGAGAGTAAGCATGGCTGTCGTCAACAGGAGACTCCAAAAGTGTTCTTTTTTTAACTCACTGTTTTTTACTCATTGGTGCTGTGTGGAAAGAGCACTGGATTTGTAGTCAGAAGACTTGTTGAAAGACAGGACTTCTCCACTTATTAGCTCTGTGACTTTGGCAAATCAGTTATTTGATTGTTCACTTATTCGTAAAGTAGGACTAATTATACCTTCTCCACCTTCCTCATAAGGTTTTGGTGAGTTTCATTTATGCCGCAGTATGTGGAAATGCTACATACATTCAGTTTCTTCCCCCTATTAAAAACATTTCCTGATGTATAAACACAGAGGTAGTGTGAGGCATTTGCAGCTGAGCCTTACAGAAGAATGTATTGCAGATCAATGTAGAGATGTGAGAAGGGAAAGGGATATTTTGAGGGCTGTTTAAACTATTTTTGGTGTGTTAGAGCGCAGGGAAGCATTTGCCACTGATGCTTTGATATGTGCTGGCAATATGTTTTCTAATTAAAGTTTGCCACCTCCACAACATATACTTTGTATCTGAGCTTTTAATTTAGAACGTCTTAATGTGAATAGCCTTTTTTTGGGCAGAGCTTGAAAGAAGGCTTGTAAGAATGGTGTTCTGCTGCAGTCATAAATTTGAATAACAGTATTTTAGAACCATTAAATAGAAACATCATGGGAATCATTAATGTTAAAACCTATCTCTTTAAGTTGCTTTGTTAAAGGGCTGCAAAAGTACAGTACTTTACATTTCAAGGTTATTTCTTCAGTTACTATCAGAATTGAATTTCAAAGGAATGAAGGATTGCTATAGTGTTGGGGTCCCTAGGCAGAGGGTAATGTACTTTAAACAATGTTCATTCTACAAACATTCGAGCATTCACTAGGTATAAAGTAAATTTCAAGGTGCTAAGGGTATACAAAGGTGAAGAAGTCGTTGTTTAGTTTATAACCTTCCATGGTTTATAACTGGGGTTGAGAAGAAGACTTTCTTACTAGAGGCAAAAAGGTCAGAAGGTAAGAGAGTGAGGGGAGAAAAGTTTGAAAAGGGATGTTGGAAGAAATTGACTGTGGAGGTAGTAATGCCATCAAAGTGTCCGCTGGGTGTTTTTCCACTCTAGGAGTTGTTTTTGACCTGCTCTTTTCTGCTATGTCTTTTATAACCATTTGTGTGAAGTACAATACTCCTACTGGTGTTCTTCATCCTTTCTTTTATTGCACTGCAGCCAGCATTACTGTTGTCATCCCTTGTTTTGCCTGCAGCCGGGGTTTTTAAAGTCTTTTTGACTAAGACCCACAGAAAAAAATATACTTTATATTGTAGACCAGGGTACCCATACACACATACTCTCTCCTTGAAACAAAAGTTTTAAGAACCAATATTTAACATTTCTAAGCATAAGGATCTTTTACTTTCCATACCTTTCTACTCCTTTTCATTTTTCTCCAGCACCTTAAAAAAAATAGTGATCCCAAACCACTAAATCAATCTTACGACACACAAATGGTTCACAACCACAGCTGAAAAAACCAACATTGGTCTGCATGTAACCAGAGGAAGCATGAGGTGGTATGGCAGGGGCTGATGGGGAAGACATGATAGCACAGTGATTAAGCCTTGCTTCTTCTTAGCTGTGACTTTCAGCAAGTTACTTACTTCTCACTCTCACTGGGGTAAAATTAAGTTGTCAGCACCAGGGCTGCATCCCCTTCTGGAGGCTTTGGGGAGAATCTGGTTCTTTGTCTTTTGTAGCTGCTTTGCCCCATTTGAAATTGCTTAGTTGCACCTCTTATCTACAGGTTAAGCCTAAGCTCTTTAACATGGCATCTAAGGCCTCCATGGCAGAACTCTGCCTTTCTGACTTGAGCTGCATCTCTCAGTCAACCTACAGGAACCTTCCAGGGAAGAGAAAGATTTAAATTGTCAGAGAATTTTCTTAGGGAATAAAACATAACTAGGGAGTAGTGGAGGAGCATTGTTAGTGCAATGATTAAGCACTCAGCTGTTAACCAAAAGATTGGTAGTGTGTACCCACCCAGCAGCTCTGTGGGAGAAAGGCCTGGCAGTCTGCTCCCATAAAGATTCCAGGCTAGAAGACTCTGTGGGGCAGTTCTACTCTGTCATATGAGTTCGCTGTAAGTCAAAATCAACTTGACGGTACCCAGCAACAACAACAGAGAGTAGCGGTTGCTGGTGAGAAGAATGGTGTGTTGAGTAATAGTAAGCCAAAACAACCCAAACCCGTTACCATCGAGCCGAATCCAATTCATAGCGACTCTATAGGA